TCAATAGGTGGGAACCAATCACTGTGCAGCAGCTCTTCCTCCCAGACTGGGCGGGTCTCCAATCCTGGGTGCCTAGGGCCTTCTCTTGTGTCTAGACACTTCCCCTCTTTTCCTCTAGCCAGGCCCCGCTCACTGGTGACGCTCACCGCAATACTGGCTACACGCCAGGTCTGCTGCTCCTGGAGCCCTGTTTTCATGAGTGACTGGGCACACTCTCCCTGTCTGCCTCCTTCAGACCCTAAGTTTGTGGAGCTTGGGGCTGAGAACCCCCATCGAATTTGCTTGCCCTCCGGTAGCCACGCCCCCGGTAGCTGGTGCAAGGGACCTCAGTTGTCAGCACTGGTGGGAGCGGTAGCCAGGAGTTCTGCGCCGCGATTCCTGCGCCACTCCTGATTCCCTCTGTCTGGCTATCTCGCTCACGGGAGAGCTGGGAGGGGGGAGGGTCCCTTAATGTTTTCCCACTGTGTGGAGAGGGAAGGCTAGGGGATTACACACCTGCTGCCACTGGTTTCAATGAATTTATCTCCTCCGCCTCGTTTTGGTAACGTCAGTTCTCTGCCATGGTGGTATCCCATGCAAATGGTGACAGTTCGTTCTCTTTGCTGGGTGACCAATGCAATGGGTGGGTCCTGTCTGTCTCTCCCCAAGCCCCGTTTCAATCCTGTGGCCACTGCCTATGCAGGCTCAGTTGGCATTTACTCCCCATTAGTCTTCATAACCTTTCTTAGCAAGGGCTGAAGTTCTTGGTCTTGCTTAAAGTCATCCAATTGTTTTTTGGTCTTCCTGGATGACATATCTAGTAGACAAACTCCAAAAATGCCAGTTGCAGACAAGCAGAGAGAACAACCCCTCTGTAATCTGACCATCCCACCTGGTAGCTGAGGTGAATCTCAGCAGGCATTCCTGGGTCACACCTGTTGTTTATAGAGTTATTGTATTTTCTTGATGGTCATGTGCAGCATGGGAAAGATACCTCAGAATTTGTTGATGATGGTGTTCAACCTATTTTAGAGGGTTACATACATGTTTCCAACCTCTGCATTTAACAGGGTCAGGAAGATGGCTGCTATCATAACAATCAGCTATGCTGATAGTGTGAGGGGATCTTTTGACTAGAAACTTTTATTTTATCAATTTGTGTAGACTGAGTCTAGAAACAGGATTCTGGAAAATGGTTAACATTTTTCAAATCAAATATTTAAAAGAAAATGTAAGGAAATTTCTCTAGTATGTAACAATTATTTTGTAGTTCGTTCACTCTAGCAATCTGTCCGTTCATTCATACTTATCAAGTATCTGCCTATGTTAAACTCTGCCTGTAAAGTGCTGAACCATGAACAAAGAACTGGATATTTCTATGATGTCATGTCAACCTGAAAACTTTCCAGGGCATTTGAGGCTTTCAGGAAGCCCATCAGACCCTGGGCAACAACCTGATTACCCTTTTGGAGAATCCCCCTGTGGCCCTCATGGTCATTTATCATTTTGTACCAGCCTCTTGACCTGGTCTAGAAGAAGCAGATCTAGTGTGGACATGAGGGATAGGGTACAGTTTTATCATCTATAGGTAGATGTATGGCTGGGTTCCTCCCAGATGAGAAAAGGACAACTGAGAAGGTTGATTTCAAATTGAATTGGCAGGAACAAGTGTATGAAGGAGAAAATATTCTGGAAGGATTTTTTTGTTGTTTTTGACTACTTTGGTTTGGTTTTTGAGACAGGGTCTCGTCTCACTATGTTGCCCAGTCTGGGCTCCAACTCCTGCCTCAGCCTTCAGAGTAGCTGAAATTACAGGTGTATGTCACTGTGCCCAGTTTAAAGTAACAAACCTGTCTCCTGGTGGGCTCCAAAAACAACCTTTCTGTTAATACAGAATGTGCTGACCAATTTGTGCCACAGACACATAAACCTGCAGTTTTTAAATGATGTCCTATTTGCATTTGAGAGAGCAACTAAGCTGGTAAGATAAACACATAAGTGGAATAATGTGTCTAATTTTCTCTTCTGATTTGGAGTGATTGCTGGAATTGACGAGGACAGAGTGCACCTCTGCTCCTTTCTCTGTCTCTTGTCCAGCTCCATCTCTCTGGGCTTCTTTGGGCTCCCTTCAGGAATGATGCATAAGCTTAACTGTCCCCATACATTTGGGGGCAAGTCTTCCCCAGTGAGAACTCTGTGGGATTCACAAGAAGGGAACCAGGAGTGTCAAGATCAGGCTTTTTGTTCTGTGCCCCATAACCAAATAAAGTAAGTGGACTTCAAACTATGCTCAGAGGAATTTGTTTGCTTTATAAAGAGAGTAGCCCTTAACCCTAGAAGATTCTGATAATTATAGAATTTCTGGTGTTCTCACTGATTAAAAAACAATCACTGCTTCCAGAGAAAGCTGTGGGTTCTTCAAAGTCATAGCAGGAAGAAAGTGAAGGAAACGCATTCGAAAGGATTAAAATTATTGATAACAAATGGGCCTCTCTTATGGGCTGGGAACATAGCTCAGTTGGTAGAGTGCTTACTTCACATGCACAAGGCCCTGGGTTCAATCCCCAGTGCCACCAAAAAAAAAAAAAAAGGAAAATAAAAGAAATGGACCTCTCTGTTTGGTTTCTAATTTCTTGGCTTTCCTGATTCATAGACATCATAAAAAGCACCCTTCCTGAGTCACCGATTTATTTTAGAATTTGTTACCATTCCCTGTTGGAAGGTACCTGTGACAAGATAGCAATATCAACAAGGATTTACAGCAGCTTTATAAATGGTCCAGAATAAAGGGCAATATTCAAAACAGAATCATGGGGGCTTTGGCTATTACCAACCCTCGAACAACTGCCAGTTTGGAATATAAACCAACCCTTACATACTTGGAAGCCTGAAATAAGACTCAATAGATTTTTCCATGTTTGTTTAGAATTACCAACCTGTAAGAGCAACATTATTTATGTTCCCAATGCCTAACCTATTTATTTCTCAAATCTTTAAAAAACTTAGAAATGTAAACAAACGATGGACAATTCACAGATATTTGGTTAACAACAATTGTAGAAAGATGACTAATTCCTGTTTCTAAGGAGCAGAGAGGCAGACCAAGAAAGTGTAAAACATACAACTATAGGAAATATATTTCACATATGTGTCAATTTTATTCTAATTTCATAAATTTACATGAACTGGATTATGTCGGTTAAGTTAGGAACAGTACCACATTCCCATGGCATTTGAGTTTCCTGTAAGCTGTTTTGGAATAGAAAGGTTAACAATGTCTTGGAGTCTTAAAAATTCAATTCTGTTGTAGCATTTTTCAATAACATTGATCAACTGTTTTTCCTGGAGTTACTCATATGGGTCCTCAAGACATTTTGGTGGTAGTGTGAGTGATGAGATTAACACAAAAACGAAAAAGAGGTTGCTATTTCATCACAGAAGCAGGTACAAAAGGTTGAGTTTTAAGGACCAGTTATGAGGAGGTACAGGAGATGGTGACCAATTGCTGAGAAATTTTTGATTAAAAATTATCAATAATAGCAGCCAAACGGGGCAGGGAAGCATGACTCAGGGAAGTCTACGTGTTTGAGGTCTTGACTTAAACAGGAATGCTCAACAGGAAGGTTAATGGGGGAGAGAGAAAGGCAGAAGATGTTGGAAGACAATAAGTCAGAGGAAATGAAGATGAGAGGGCACGGGAGAGAGATAATTCTGTGATGAGAAAAACAAAACAGCTGAAGGGGTAGGGAACTTGGTTAGATGCTAGGAACCTGGCACAGGTTAACTAGTGACAGACCACCCAAAATGCACCTGGATTCAAATGATCATGTGTCTTCCCTCCCAAAATCTTGTTGCCTTAAAAATCTATTCATTCCACACAGACCCAATCATATGCACTTAACTAAACACTCCAATAGTTTTTTAAAACATTATTTTTATAAAATCTAAACTTGTAAGCTAGCTTTTATGAAGTCCAGCTTGATTTCCCACCATTTTCTGTTTGCCAGTCCCAACTGCTGCCCTCTGGCCTCCTCATAGATTAAGAGTATGGTCCCAGAAAAATAATGTGGGAGCTTATTAAAAATGGAAAATCTCAGGACCTACCCTAGACTTAATGAATCATCAATCTGCATTTTAACAAGGCTTCCATGCAACAACCTGTTGCATTTTCAAGATTGAGAACCACTTGCTGCCTAGTTGTACTGAACCACTGGCAATTCCCCAAGCCACACTGTGTGTTGAACATCTCTAAGCCTCTGCACATGCTATTCTCTGCCCAGAAGTCCTTCCTCCCTCCCATTCCTCTTTTGAGAGTCAGTTCAAGGATTTGTAAACCATTTTCTGGCCCATCTGTTTTCTCCTGCCCATGGTAACCGCCTCTCTCCATTATGCTGCCATGGAAACCAGTGAAAATGTCTACCATTTATGCACCAGGCTTCACTGTAGCTCATGGTTTATGTGTCTGCCTCCTTAAAATGCAGCAAGCTCCTGAAGGTAGTGGCTGTGTTTGCCTTGGCACAGTGCTGTGACTCAGGAAATGTTAAGTTGAAATGTTATTGAAAAACAAAGGACAGAGAGAGGAGAGAAAAAGGAAAGTGATTGCATGCCAAGAGATTGACAGCCACCCCAGCTATAGCCTTGACACTGACTGTGATAAGCACTATGCTAATGCTTCATGGGGATAGTGCTATTTACTCCCTCTGTTACCTCTCTGGGTGTTATTCTCCTCACTTAGCAGAGATGGGAACGATGGTACAGAGAGGTTGCATAATATGCTCGAGTTGCCCCCCCCACCAGCTGTACATGGTAGAGCCCACGTCCACTCACAGGCAGTTTTACTCTAGAGTCTATGCTCTTAACCAGTCTGAGGAAGGAGGTAGCTTTGGTTATCAATATTCACTAGTTCAACAAACATTTTCCCAGGGAAAGCTCTTTGGGAGAGGACACAGCAGATAAAAATCACAGTCACTTACAATCCTGCCCTCAAGGCACTCATTTTAGCAAGGAAGCAGAGATCTGTAAACCAGCAAATGATTCATCAATGGACAATAACTGAAGAATATTTAAAGTCAACTTAGATCTAGCAACAGGCAGGATGGACCTGTTCTACCAGTGGGAATATTTGATTTAGATCTTGAAAGAGGAGCATAAACTCAGAAAGCAGAGAAGCAAGAGAGGGAGGAGACAAGATTCAGGGCAGAAGGAAATGTAGAAATGTAAAAAGAGGCACAAACTTTAACCCTGCAGCAGGGTGAGTTGTCCTGTGCGGCTGGATTGAGGAGTGTGTGCAGACACTTCGGGTTGACGTGCTCAGCGTGTGCTCCCTGTTGCTCCCTGTTCAACAGAATCAGAAACAAAGCCACACATCCCAGAGGATCTTGAAGCTACAATTCTATCAACGAGATGCACTCTCAAGGTCCGTCAACCTGCAGCACACAGTAGCAGAGCCGTTAATTAAAGTATCATTTGTGGTCACATTTGTGGGGGAAAAAAAGTCTCCACAGAATTAAAAATATCAGAGGCCAAATGGCTATGGTAATAAGATTTTATGGCCCAAATGATAAATTCCAAGGCTGGAGGATTGATTGGCTGGTTTCTTGAGTCCCCATGGAGTACACAGAAAAAGACTAGTATGGAGCTACTGGTACCATCCCATACCTGGTGCCAAATTCTGTGTCAGTGTTACCTCTTCAGCAAGAGGCAGAGACCCAAAATAACAGTAGCTTAATCAAGTTAGAAGGCTATTTCTCATCCCAAATTCCAGAGGTAGGAAGTGCAGCTGTGGCAGTTCTGCTCCATGGTGCTGTCACCTTGCCACTCCTCATTCCCTTTGGTGTCATCTTCATTTTCATGGGCTCAGATGGTAGCTGCAGGATGAAGAAGGGAGAAAAGAATAAGAACCAACCAAGGACTTGTGCCAGATTGCTCTTGAAAAAGTTCTCGGAAACTCACATTTTACTTTGTTGAGCATAACATTGTCCAGAACTTTGTCACCAGTCCACATCTAACTGCACAAGAGGCTAGGGAAAAGGCTGGAGTTGTGCTTCAGTGGTATGTGTGAAGCACTGGGTTTGATCCTCAGCACCACATAGAATAAATAAAATACAGGTATTAGAGAGCGAGAGACAGACACTAGGGAAAGCAATCACCAATTGTCATTATTGTATTCAGAAGGGGGCAGCAATCTGTCACTACTTCTACAAAATGCACTGTGGAGAGTGTCAGAGGAGGAAATTGGGATGATGGGAGCCTGCTGGGGAAGGACACATCAAGGAGTTTGGAATTTTTCCTCCTCGAAATGAGGAATCATCAAAAACAGTTTTGGAGGCAGAGAAGTATGAGCTGAGCTGTATTACAGCCATCTCCTTGACAGCCACCTGGATGGATGGGTTCTGGTGGATGATTCTGTGACCCAGAGACAAGTAGAAAGCTGTTGCCCTGGTCCAAGTGGGAGGTGCTGAAGTCCTGAAATAGGGAAGTGACAGTAGAATGAAAAAAAAAATGGAAAGGTGAGGTATGTGAGAGTAGAGAGGTGAGCCCTGGTGACTATTAGGTAATGAAGGAGAAAAAGGGAATTAACATGACACCAGACTTTGGCTTAAGCAATTTGGTAAATGATAATGCAACTAACCCAAACAGAAAGGAATGTAGGAGATGAAGAAGTCTACTACTAGTGGTGGGGAGAATGTGATTAGTTTGGTTTGGGATATGTTGAGTTTAAACCTCCTGTTAGGTGGGAGATGTTACGCAAGCAGATAAAAATATATGTCTGGAATCCTGGGGAAAAGTCAGGGCTGGAGGTACCGATTCAGGAGTTGTGTGACAGTTACAGTCATGAGTTTGGTTTGGCTTAACCAGAAAAGAATGAGGAAACAAAAGGTAAAGCCCGGAAAAGCACCAGTTGTGTGAGTCCCCTGTAGAGTCCATTCTGACAGAACCTTCTCTGGGAGTTATAGGTCAAGAAATTCTGGAGTTTTGTTGGCGACTAAAAGGCTCAGGGGTCACTCCAGGTAAACTGGGCTGACTGGGCTGAGCAAAATAACCACACAAATACCTTTTTCTTTGGGGTCGCTGTGATGGCTCCTCTGACCTTAAGGGTCAGCAGGAAGAGAGAGAGAGAGAGAGGGAGAGAGAGAGAGAGAGAGAGAGAGAGAGAGACACCCCACATGCTGACCCCTTTTATTGAGGAGAAGCTATTCAAATGAGGCAAGGGGTCAGGTTTCAGGGGGCTGAGTCTGTCTTCATGATGTCCACTGTCAGCAGGTTGACTGACACCTGGGTAGGCCACACCCAAGGGCACAGTAAGAGAAGGGGACACACACAAGGCACTTCCATGGAACATTCTATCCTAAACAGGACAAGGGGTTATATTACAAAGGAACAGGTGAGCATAGCTCCACCCATGGGGCTGTAGGAAGTCATGCCCATGCACAAAACACTGTGCCTTGATCCCAAGAAGGGTGAAGAAAGTCTAGCAGATTGTCGCCTGATCCCTCAGCACCCAGCCAGGAGTGTGACTCAGTCATGTGCAAGGTTGGTCTCCCACAAAGAAATTTGAGGTTGCAAATGTATTCCTTTCCAGATATCTAGGATTTGTGTCAGATCTTTCCATTTCAAGATAAGGTAAAACCGCTGACGACCTTTTCTTTCCCTGAGGGAGTTACTTTTACACCAAGTAATTTCAAGTGTTGGGGAAAAAAGTCACATTTAAAGTTGAGGTTTCCATTTCTACTCTGTAACACAGCACAGCCTGTTCCTGGAAAAAGTCCGGCCTCCCTTATCATCCAGGGAACTGTCTTGCAATTTTTCCACCAGGCCTGGGAGTTGGGGAGGGGAGGAGGATGTCAGCAGCTTTAGATGTGCATTGTAGGCAGCGACAGATAGGGAAGCTCTCTTACAAACTGCTTTCAATTTCTGGTGATTTAATGCCCTTATGATTGCTTTCAAGAAATAGGAATTTGGTTGTTGGCATCTGCTTCAATTTTAGAAAAGCTTTTAGAAAACTTGTTGGTACATAGCACCCCTTTTTTTGTCAATTGATTCTTATTTTCCCTTCTCTTTCTCTACCTTCACTTCTTTTTCCCTCTCTTCTCCCTCTTCTTCTTTTTATCTCCCTCCACCTTCTCACTTTGAGCAGTTGGATAGTATAACCCACCCTCAACACTTTGCTTTCTTGAAATTTAATGATTAGAATTTGAAAATGACTTTGGGTCAAAGAGTACAACAAAATGTCAATTCTTGTGGTGATCACTGCAAGCAGAATAACTTCAATGACTGGAATCCAAATAAAGGATCCTATAATCCTCCTGAAAGCACTGTAAATTTAATTCATCAGAAGCAATAAAAGTGATCTAAAATTAAAATAATTGGTATACTTGTCTAAAATGGAAAGTTTGTGTACAGGATTTGCATGGGATCCTATAATTAGTATGAATTCATCCCAGCATCTAATATTCTTCACCTCAGTATACTTGACTATGTTCACTGATATCCATCACAATGGCCCTAAAATCAGCCTTCATCAAACAAAGATTCAATTATACCCACTGAGCTCTATCTAGTAGCTAAGTAAATGGGCAAAATGCAATTTGGCAACAATATTTTCACTTCTGAAAAAAAAATCATTAAGAAACTACAGTAAAACATTTCACGAAGCAAAATTTATTTTTAAAACAGTTCTTTATTCTGAGATCATGTCCTTTTTTTCCTCTGTCAACTGCCTTTTCTTTTGTAAAAAATGGTAGTGCCAGTATGACAGGTTCTTTTTGCAAAATTAAAAGTTGACACATCATTGCTACTTCCAAGAGTTATTCTGAATTTTACTTGTTGGTGAAATATCAAAACCTCAGAATCCCCATTGGAATGCTTCCCTATAGGCTGGGGAACAAACTGGACTTTCTGTCAGGCTGGGTCCAGCTGGTTCTTCATGGTCTTGCTCCCTGTTGCTGATCACACAAACTGGCCAAGTAGGTGAGCAATAAGATATGGGAATGAAAGGTTTAAATAGGGTTAAACCCTTAAAGGTGTTCGTGTTTGTTTCCTCCATTCATCTCCAAAATGTTAAACACTTTAATATACTTTTAAAATTGTGATTTTAAAAATATGTGTATTTTATTTATTTTTTATTTATTTATTTTTTAATTAAACTCAGGGGCACTCAACCACTGAGCCACATCCCTAGCCCTATTTTGTTTTATTTAGAGACTCACTGAGTTGCTTAGCACCTCAGTTCTGCTGAGGCTGGCTTTGAACTCATGATCCTCCAGCCTCAGCCTCCTGAGATGCTGGGATATGTGTATTTTAAATAAACCACTTACATGTACAAAAGTCAAACCATGACACTGCCACAGGGCATCAGGGCACAGTAGATTTTGCATGTCAGCCTTAAAGTTTTGCAAAAGCATTCCATGAAGACCTGGATTTAGGGTTTCAGGCCCTGAGAGTAGAGCATCAAACCCTTCTCTACTAGAATGTAAAGGAAGAGACATAAATTCCACATAATTCCCTGTTGGGATCCAGTTTGACATGACTCTATCCATGTTGGTCCCAAGCACTATTTTGCCATCCAGGTAACCCTGGCATGCATCCTAAACCCTAACAGGACAAACAAGTCATTCAGGTAGTCTACCAAGCTATTGTGCTGACTATTGACACTTTTATTTTTTCTTACCTGAGTTGGATGTGTTAACTATTAAGTTTTTGAGAAAGCCCAGGTACCTCCTGATGGGCAAAGGCCTACCTTTGTCAAGCTTTATATCTAAACCACTCTTTCCTGTCTCTAGGTGCTGGGATTCTCTTGTGTTGCTGCCGCCCAAAGATAGCTTCTGTCTGTGAGCCCCTAATAAATTGTACTTTGTGCAATCTTGGGTCTATCTGCCTCTTTCTTTAGTCTCATGGCACTTTCTGCCTGTGGTCACTAGTGTCACATACATCAGGACTAGGTTTCCCAAAACAACATCAAAAACAATAAAGATTCTGGGTTGATTAGAACACACTTTAAATCAAAATTCGAGTTCTCTTGAGACAGAGACCACCATAGGGACAAAGGGCAAAGGCACTCCTGGGCCTTAACTCCACAAGCATGGTATGTGCTGTCCCTGCTGTCCCCCTTCCCTTGTGGTTTGTTAGCTATTTCCATCATGTTATGTGCCTTTCTCTACCTTCTCACTGACTCACTCTCCAGCAGTTTGGCCTCAAAAAATCAGTATATTATTAAAGCCAGGATACCCTCACCATAAGTCTCCAAGGACAAACAACATAAAGGATAAAACAGAAACAGGAGTCACAGAAACAGCAAATTCCCTGGACCCGTAACTTCTTACTTGCCAAGATTTGTGTTTTCTTCCACTCTTTCTTCCACTCTCCACCTATACGCTCTCTTAACAGGCACAGAAACTCATCCTTATCACAAGGCAGGGATGTTTATACAGGATGTGGCATGTAATTATGAAAAACCCAAATAACATGTTATTTGCACTTAAAATTAAGTCTCTGCTAACTGTAGCAACCTACCCCTCCTTCAAGGTTAAAGTGCTTTTCCAGGAAAAGAAAATGTACCCCAAACCAATTAATATTCCTAAACTCTAGCCCACCCCAGTCACCCTTTCACATGACTAAAACTAGCCTTCTTCATCCTGGGGAGCCATCCTGACAGGCCATTGCTGTGTCTCCCTTATGCCTAATGAAGAGTCTTGTTCCTGTGGTAATTGGGATTTTATCTGATTCTTCTGATGGAGAGTATAGGACCCACTGAGTCACTACCTCTGACCTCCAAAATCAAGGACAAAATTTCAAAATTGTTTTTCAAGAATCAGAAAAAAAATGCTCCTTTGGAGAGGTCTTCAATCCACATGTCTTGCTACCACTATCATTGTGATTCTTTGTCATTTCCCAGAGGTCAGCAACCATTTCTGATAAAATGCTCCTGCAGCAGGGAAAGGTACAGGCCCAGCCCCTTATAATCATTAACCTTGGGGCTACAGACCTCCAGTTCCGTTGCCAGGGGACCCAAAGTATTGCTTAAGGAAGCAGGGAAATGATAGTGAACTACTCCATGAAAGGCAGGAACACTCTGGAGCCCCCGCCTGCAGTTGACCCCTTCATGTAGAAGGACAGCTCTAAGAGTAAACAGGATTTTAAAATAGGGCTGAGGATGACCACTTGTCTCACGCGAGACGATCCCAGCACATATTTTCATTATCTAACAATTCAGAAAGCAAGAATTATTCATAATTCTGCCACCTAGAAATTACCACTGTTAACATTTTGATTAACTTTCTTCCAGGAATGGATGGACGCTTGGATGAGTGGACAGCCTTGAAGATACCCTCACAATGTTCTTACATGTATACTAGTTCATTATGAAGAGGGAAATTAATAAGATGGTGCAGGAGGCTGATTTTTAAATATAAACACATTATTCGGATTTTTCACAACTGCATATTACTGTGTGTGTGCGCAAAAAAAAAAAAATTTAAATAACAAAACCAAGGCAATCATTCTTGGGAATAATGGGGTTTATCAGGGGGACCCTGAGCACTAAGGAGGGCCTCCTCCTGGCGAGGGTGCAGAGCTAGGGAGGTAGCCCATCCGCAGAAAGCAGCGGGAGGCAGTCCGGGCCCTAGCTACGTGCTGCTCAGGGCTGCTGGAGTCGCTGCAAGAGGCGGGCCTGGCTAGGAAGTGGCGCACGCGCACTGGGCGCGCCAGGTTTCGCAGCGAGATGCGAAGCCGATGCACTTTTACTTAGGATACCAGTTGCTTTCCGGAGTGGTTTCTCCGGAAACAAGGTGCTTTCACCTCGGCGCTGGCTCTCCCGGAGCCATGGGAGGGCTTTTCTCCTCCACTTTACTGGAGAAGACACAGAATTACCCACGCCGGCACCAACTCTGGGAAAGGCGTGGACACGCCGGGGTTGCGGCCTCGTGGCGCCCTCTGCCGGGACCCAGGCGCGGTGCAAGCCTGGAGGCCGAAGTGGCCGGCAGGGAGGGAGCCTCAGAATCTCTGGGCCCTGAGGGAGAGGCACCCCCAGGATTAAGGCATCCATA